AAAAGGGTATCCACTTTCTTCCTTGCCCTAGGCCTCGACGCCTTTAAATCCGGTTCTGTATAACTACAGAGTCTTCCAACTACTGGAATGCAGAAATAATTATATAATAATTTTTAGGCGATTGCAACACAATGTCCACAGTTATAAGTACTGGAATAGAGTTAGGACAAGAGTATAGTTCCTTTGAGGATCTTGAATCCGATATAGATAGATATACAATGGAACATTTAGTTCAACTCTACATGCGAGATAGCTTAACTTTGAAAGCGGCACAAAAATCAAAGCCCCACAGAGTGGACAGGGCCAATATGGAACTAATAATAAAAATTGTAACAATGAAATTACGACAAGTCAAATTTATTAACGGGACAACGTTAACAACTTCATTGTTTCCATGAGTTTTTGATATTTTTATAAAAATGCAAATCTTGTACCTAATTAGCTAAGATAAAGTATGTCAAACAGGGCTCCAGCTCAACCAAAATGTCATCAATATACCTACAATATATGTATATTTTTGAAATCAGGAAAATATTTTTTTTTTTATTTTAGAGCATAAGATACACGGTCAAGTTCTATATTTAAAAAAAGACTTTGCATGTTTTTGGTGCATTTACGCATCCAAGGATCTTCTTTTTGAGATTTGGCGAGCGCAGAGCGAGCAATCGGAGACTCAAAAATGATTTACAAGAAGGTTGAGAAAAAGATTTCCACGTTTTTGGGTTATTCACGCTTCCAAGAATCTTTTCTTTCAAGTTTGTCGAGCGGAGCGAGCAATCAGAGACTCAAAAATAATTTAAATTTCAAGCCGTTATATTTAATAAAGGTTTTTCACGTTTCTGGTGGAAGGTTTTTCTCGTTTTTGGTGGATTTACATTTCTGAGGACATTATTCTCTTTGAGGTTTGGCGAGCGTAGCGAGCAATCGAAGGTATAAAGATAACTTCAGGGTGCGTGTCAGAAGGATTTTGAATAGGTTGCCGTCTGGAATGAAGCAGAGCAGATTCCAAACATCAACAAGTTTAAAGCCCAAGATAGAAAGATGTTAGGTACTAGGTACTGATAGAGGCCTATTACTCAATGGACGAATTTCTTGATGTCAATTCTACAAAAAAACAAAATTTCAATAAAGTATTTAGCAACAGCTGACTGGTAGGATATACGAATTCTAAAGTAATAACAAACTTTCCAGTAGGCGCTCGATCAATTGACAAAAAAGGACCTACCAGTAGGCGCACAATCGGTGGATGAAAAAGAGCCTACTGGTAGGCGTATGATTGTTGGATAACAAAGGACCTACCGGTAGGCGTAGGATTCACTCCCTTTTTATTTCCAAAAAAATTCTGAAGTGCAAAAAATGTGGATGAAAGGAATACACCAAGATAATTATACCCGAGATTATACAATAACGAAAAATTCTGTGGTGTGTTGTAAGCATTTTGAAGAAACCGAAATAATTAGATTTGAGACAAACAAGGATAAAGGCGTAGTTCGAGAGTTCAAACTAAAACGTCCAACTCTTAAAAGTAGGTACCAGGTACCTCTTATTTTCGAAAATCAGCTCAAGTATTTGAATGGACTTGCCTTCCAAAAAAATCCCGAAGAAAGAAAAAGTTAGATTTTCAAAAGACATACTGAAACATAACACTTTAGACTCTAGAAATATATTCATTTAAATCAATTATTTACTGTTCTTATTTACACAAATAGTTAAATTATTCATTGAATTACTGTTTTTGGCCCTTTAGTACAATAAATTATGCATTTTTTGTGATTCATATTAATAAAATAAAAAATATATATTTATACAAACAAACACCACCAGCACCACTTGGCGGTAAGATTGCGGTGTTGCCTTTTTAACTTCATGGCTTGTTAAATGTAGGAGGCTGTGGCAAGCCCAAATAAATGAAATATGGTAACGTTGTTTCATGCTGTCAAAAAAAGTTGGGTTATGTTGTTACTGTCCGCCCAAGTTAAGAACACCGTTTAAAAAAAATTAAGAATTTAAGTTCATAGAAAACATCGTTGTCACGTACCTACCTACACTCACTACAAAAAAATGAGGCGTATAATAATTGTTATTTGTTAACAATTATTAAACGTCTCATTTTTTTGTAGTGAATGTACCTACGCGATAACTATGTTTTCTATGAATTTAAATTCTTCATATTTTTTTAGCCGGTGTTCTTAACTTGGGCCCGTATGTAATGTGAATGAGTTTGTTTACAATTAAATTAATAATCAATTTAAAATTAATTTCTTTTTCAGAGATGCGTAACCTATCCACAAACCTTCCTTGGGATGGCCATAACATCCTACCAAAGTTTCATCGTAACCAGATAAGTGGTGTAGGAGCGCATACCCGGATACCCCTCAAACATTGATTTTTATACACTTCGCATCAAAATTAACGCACCACTAAAATTTGGCACAATTTCAAATTTAATTTTCTCGGAAACTGCTGAATCGATTTGGACATATTTTTTTTTTAATTGTAGCTTAAATCTTCAGGAATGACTCTGTAAAACAACTTTTCATTTGAATCGAAGTTTTAGGCATATACAGGGTGTTTTAAAAGAAACCAGTTTGATGCCTAATTTTTGTCACATCCTGTGGGACTTTCCATCTGCACCAATAGATGTCTATCTAAATCAAAACATAGCCCCATCTTTTCTGAGCATTTTATTTTTTTATTCACGTTTCTAGCTCTGTTATTTAATGAAATATGGAGTTTGAAGTTAAAAGCGTTTATTTGAGATTATTCAAGAAAAAGTTTCGGAAGTTAACAAAACAAAAATAAAATTATTGAAAAAATAATGTGGAAAAAAAAAACATTCAATATCGGGTGTTTCTTCCCCTACTCTCTATTACCGCTTGACATCGACGACCCATACTTTGAACCAGACGTCTTATTTGTTCTTGATCGATATTAATCCAAATTTCTCGAACAAAGTTTTCTACATCATTCAAAGACACAGGTAGGGGTTGATGATCTCTAAGCTGCCTACCAATTTGATCCCATAAATGTTCTATAGGATTGAGATCTGGACTGCGTGAAGGCCAGTCCAGAGTCTCAATATCCACCTCATTCAAATAATCTCGCACTATTCTCGCAGTGTGTGGTCTGGCGTTATCTTGCATTAGTAAAAAGTTATCCCCAATATACCCAGCGAAAGGGACCACATGCTCTGACAAAATTTCCGTGATGTACCTTGCACTATTTAAAGGTCCTCCACGCAAAGACACGATGTCAGTACGAGCAGTTAAAGAGATTCCGCCCCAAAACATCACAGACCCTCCATTGAATAACTCGGTTTGGCGAATATTACACTGCGAGTAACGTTCATTTGGTCGTCGAATAACCCTTACTCGTCGGTCGTTGCTGTAAAGACAAAACCTTGTCTCATCTGTAAACAGAACTCGCTCCCAATCTTCAGCATTCCAGTTTACATGTTCCCTGGCAAATTGAAGTCTTGCTCGTATATGGTCTGCATTTAGCCTTGGTCCTCTTGCTGGAATTCTGAACCTTAAATTTCTTTCTGCCAGACGTCTCCTTACAGTTGATACACTAACGTTGATATTGTGAGCAGTATTTAATTGTACCCTTAGTTGTCTTGAGGTCACAAAACGTTGCCTCAACGCATTCAGTTGCAAAAATCGGTCATGGATAGCCGCTGTTCCCCGAGTTCTTCCTTGTCCACGGCGCCTGTTGTGGTCATTGGTTTCTTCAAAACGGCGAAATATGCGCAATATTGTCGAATGAGAAACACCCAATCTTCTACCTACAGCTCGGTAGCCCATTCCTTCCTGGATCAATGTAGTCGCCATCACACATTCATCTCGAGTTAAATTTCTTGTTTGACGCTCCATATTTTGCAATGATAACACCAAATGCAGAGAAATTACAGAATAAATTCAAAAATCACTGACAGATAAAGACAGTAGTCTCTGTTTCCATGACAATATCGCGCCTTTGTTTTCCATGGCCTACTTAGATTTACTTACCTGACGGTTATAACTCTTCTTCTTCTTCTTTCTTCTTTTTTCCACATTATTTTTTCAATAATTTTGTTTTTGTTTTGTTAACTTCCGAAACTTTTTCTTGAATAATCTCAAATAAACGCTTTTAACTTCAAACTCCATATTTCATTAAATAACAGAGCTAGAAACGTGAATAAAAAAACAAAATGCTCAGAAAAGATGGGGCTATGTTTTGATTTAGATAGACATCTATTGGTGCAGATGGAAAGTCCCACAGGATGTGACAAAAATTAGGCATCAAACTGGTTTCTTTTAAAACACCCTGTATATGCCTAAAACTTCGATTCAAATGAAAAGTTGTTTTACAGAGTGATTCCTGAAGATTTAAGCTACAATTAAAAAAAAAATATGTCCAAATCGATTCAGCAGTTTCCGAGAAAATTAAATTTGAAATTGTGCCAAATTTTAGTGGTGCGTTAATTTTGATGCGAAGTGTATATATAGATTAGCAAAGTGTCGTAATATTTTCTTAGAGTGTTTTTACTCAAACTTCCAATTTCCGTCAAAAAGTGTCTTACTCTTTGATCTTCCAATCCAACATTTAATGCTCTGCTAAAAATATAAGATTTTTCCAATTTCTTAGTCACTTTTCCTTGGTTCTTCCAATTCCTATGGATGAACTTCCTAAGTCTTTTTATTATCAAGTTTCCATGAAAGTATTTCCGTTTTAGAGGTTTTTTAGTTTTGTATTTGATTTCACAACTTCTGTAACTACAAACCATAAATCATCTCCACAATTTTTTTGTTGTTGAACATCTGGAAAAAGTTCTCGAAGTATTTCTTCAATTCTCAAAAAAGTTTCAGATATTCCATCTTCTCCAAAGCTTTTGGCCTGAGGTCTATCAATTTCCGTGAAAGATCGTTACCGATTTTTTTCTCCTAATATTCTTAATCCTATATTAAGACATGTTCAACAACTAAAGTACTAATATGTATAAAGAAATCAAAAACTCTAAATATATGTGAAATATTTTATTTTAAAATCTAAAAAAATAATAACATAAATATCACTAATAAGTAACCGTGCAGGATTGTGCAGATTGAATTCATTTGACCTGAAACAAAACAAAAAAATAATAAAACAAGGAAAATTTACAAAATGTAGAAATCCGAATTAAAGTTTTTCAAAATAATTATTGTACAAAAGTAGGGTCTCAAGCATGATTCAAACAATATTCTGAAAATGCAAATGAATAGAATAAAGCGTTGACAGTTTGAAAATAATTCGGGTATACCTACCATTACTGGAACTACTTGTTTGATTCTGGAATGAACCTGGAACAGAAAGTTTATAAGTATTCAATTAAAAGTTACTTGATCTGAGTACTCGAGTAAATTACCTATATTCATATTTGTATCTACCTTCAGTAGGTAGTTACTTAATAGTGCTACACTACATTTTTTTGTGATCTCAAAATTATCTTTAATCCTTATCGTTTTTCATTAATTAGTAAAACAGCTGTATGTATGTTTAAGCATTTTATGTTTTCAAATCAAAAATTGCATGTATTCAATCAGATATAAGCCAATTAAAGTAATCATTACTGATTTAGTGAGTTAATTCAAAATGATTAAAATTTACTCGAGACGTCACCATCCAACCAACTTACTCCTAATTTTTTCCGTGCTAATATCCTTGAGCTCCTGCGTCCTTTTCGAGTACTGGATAAAATTGAATGTCCTGGTTTCGGACACTGTCCTGAAAGTAGGCGCGTCGAGACTGACTTCGCACTTGTATTTTCCTCCGGAATTGCGACTGAGTTTTGTGAGGTTTATCGGACAGGAGCCTATCGCTGCGTAGTTTGAATGATATGTAGATACCTGAAAAATGCATATTAATTATAAATCTTTCAAGTTAAGGAAATTATGCACAATCTGTCGATAAAAAAATCGTGAATGGAATTTTACGGCGCAGATGATGTAGATAAAAGATATCTTAGAGATGAAAATGAGCTGAAACTTTCATGCATTTTATCAGAACTGGTTTGCAGATATTATTATTTCTCATGATTTACTATCGCAACATACGAGAATTGAAGTTTTCTGGATCCTGAGCTCCATTAGCTTTATGTTGTCTTCAGGGACGGATAGGACAGGCGAAATTAGAAACTATTTTCCAAAACAAAGACGAGTTGAAAAGATTTTTGATGAAAAAGCTTCCGATGAGGCTCTACAAGATGAAAGGTTCAAATTCAAACGTCCAATGTGATTCAACCAGGTATGCCCAAAATATAGAAAGACCTCTGTGCTGATATAGCAATTTTCAACCCAACATATTTTGGAAAAATAACGCGAAATGGCCCACTACCCGACTCTTGACATTTGAATTGGTCGCAATATTTAGTCAGAGAAATTATTAATTTTTGCTGGTAATTGGGACCTTTACAAGTTATCTCTTCAGGAAACGATTGGTAGATCCAACATTTCCACTCATAGTTGCTCAGGATGTGATCAGAAAATGCGCATATAGATTTTAAAGATGCAATAAAAACTTGCTCCTGCAAGGATTGCGTGTATTTGTATTGCTGTAACGTCGCTATTTTGAAATATTATCTGTATCAGGCGTATTCAGTTTTAGCCACAGTGTATCCGATACACATTTTAACTTTGGCAATCGCCCAGGTGACATGCGAAAGATCGTATTTTTACGGGCGTGCGCAAAGTAGTACTTTTCCGCACGCATTTCCTGCGTTTTTATTTCATACAAACACCATATTTGATAATTTTTCAATTCTTGTTATGTGATATGGAAGCACTTGAAGCCTATCCGAACTCCGCTTCGCGTCGTTCGTCTAACTGCTTTGGCGTGCTGGAATCTACTACTTTGGGCACTTGTTAGGAAAATAACTTTTTCCATTCTCAAATATATATTATTAAAAATAGGCTAAGAAATAGGTTAGGTAACGAGGAGGCTTCAAGCTCATGAACATAGAAAGAATCCTTCTCTATTAAATAGGTAGGTAGCGAAGAAATTTAAAAAATCCTACAGTAATTTTCTCTTTCACCAAAAAATTTAACTCTTACACATGAAGTGCCAAGTGGGCCGCTTGAGCCGAAATTTTCCCGGGCCGGTCTCACAGAGCCCATCCATCCCGGTTGTCTTACAGATGCTGTAATTGAACCGGGTCTCTCTCTCCTATGACCAGATTAAGCTTTCATGGGGCCCAGGGCTAGTAAAGTTTTAGGGGGCCCTTTATCCCCTTTATAAATTGAGTGCAAAAAAAATATATACAGGGTATCCCACGAAGTTTTTTCCAGGTATTAACTTCGGAACACGTCATCCAATATAATTAAAATTTTGAGGATCTGGATAAATTTTCATGCCGCTTCTACCATTGTCATCCAATTTCGCTTCAATTTAAGTCAAGTGACGTCAACTTTAGAATCTTAAATGTAACTCATGGTATATTATGGCATTTTTCGTTAGAAAATTAAATTACGAAATTAGCGATGCCATATTTGTTAAGGCTTTGTTAAAGAAAATGATAAAAAATTATATAGTGGAACATACGATGATGCGTTCCGAAGTATCATTTGGGCAAAACCGCGTGAGACACCCTGTATAAAAAAGCTATATTCCTGATATAACAGAAGACACTGCTATACCTACTTGTTTTACAAAAATAAGTCAAAATATTTTTTTCTACTACCATGCGTAAAGTACTCACTCTACGAACTATTCAGAAGACGTAAAATTTCAGTTCACGCACTAGTGCGTAAAGTAATTAGTATTTTCTGGTAAATTACTTCACGCACTAGTGCGTAAAGTGAAAATACTTTGAGCACTAGTACGTGAAGTATTTGTCTAAATTTATTTTTTTACACATACAGGGTGTCCCAAAAAGATACCGACAAACTTTAAGGGGTAGTAAGGGACATCAAAACAAGCATTTTTTTTCATGTAAACATATGTCCGCAAATGAGCCATTTGGGCTCTAAAGCAAAAAAACGGTTTACTTAATAATATTGCTTTACTAACAAATAAATTATGGTTTACAATAAATGTCCAAAATGTTGACCATTTACTTCAATGCAAAGATTGCACCATTTGCACCGTCGGGTCATTGACTGAAAAGTTTAGTCTACGAAATACCTGCTCGTAATGAGGAAGATCTATTTGCAAGGATACTGGCGAGTTGTACCCATGTAGAAGCTTTTCCCGGAATATTCCAAAGGGTTCGTGACTTGACGGCAGGGGCGGATAGGCTCAGGTGGGCCGGAGAGCCAGGTGGGCCGGTTTAGGATAAAATTAAATACGATAACAAACAATGCTTGATGGAAAGAAAATCACTCAAGGTGCAGAAAGCGGTTTTTGTTTTCTACCGTTTTTCACAAGGCGTAGAGCTGCCATCTAATATTGGAAAATATTTTCAGTAAATTTTACACTTTTTCTGTAAATCTACACTTTTTCTGTAAATACACTTTCTCTGTTTAATCAGACATTACCGAGGAGTCTTCCAAATTCACCGATAATAACCCGTTAAGTACGAAATTTTAATCAGACATAATCAAACTTACCAAAAATAACCCGGTTAGTTTGCAATTGTAATCAGACATTACCGATAATAACCCGGTTAGATTGCAATTTTACTAAGATATTTTCAAACGTACCAATACTAACCGCGGTTAGTTTGGGTTAGTTTGCAATTGTAATCAAACGTACCGATAAATAACCCGATTAGTTTGGGTAAGTTTGCAATTTTAATCGAACATAACCATTATGTTTTCAAAATTTGTGTTAGTTTGCAATTTATTGTAATCAAACATTACCAAGAATAATCCTAGTTTGGGTTAATTTGCAATTTTAATCAGACATTACCAAACTTACCAAAATAATCCGGTTAGTTTGGGCATGGTTCAAGTTCAAAATTATTGATTTTCGAAAGAAGTTATTCAAAGTCAATATTTTCCAAATGGTTGATTTTCGAAATGAAAGCATTCGGAAAAAAATCTAAATTTTTGTTTTCGGAAAATGAACATAGACCTGTACCTAATGTCTGAATCGAGGTCTGAATAAAATTGCGAACCATCCCCAATTGCGGTAAATATGGTAATGTCTGATTATAAACAGAAAAAGTGTAAACATATCTATATGTATATATAAAACACAGTTGTGTTGGTTCTAGCACTTATAACTCGAGAAAGGCTGGACTGATTTTTATGATTTTTGCTTTATTGGATTTGTCTTTGTCCCTACTAACATAATAAATCGAAAAAATCAAAAAAAAAAAAAACAAAAAAAAAATTACTTATTTTACTTATTTATGAAAAAAATTCACTAAGCCCGCATACGGCGCCATCTCTTATAACCGATACCAAGTTTACCGCCACCACATTTTCATTGCAAACCATTTTATATACGGCGCTATCTCTGATACCTAGAACGAAGCTCGCCGTTGCGCGGTAATTTCATTGCAGATACAGTAGAACAATGCTGCTCAGGAACTGGAGCTATTCCGAACAGAACTATTCCACTATTCCGATCAGATAGAGTGGTGCAGAGAGAGTAGATCAGATAGATGTAAAATTTTAATTTTAGGTGACTTCTGATCCAGAGAGTAAACATTAATTTTCTTCAACCAAAGCCAAATTCACCATCGAAAAAAAACTGAATTTAATTCAGCTAATAGATACGTTAACATAACATTTAATAGGTAGGTATTTAATAATTCAGAGGCGGTACGAAGTTCGCCAGGTCAGCTAGTTGAAAATATTTTACAATATCTGGATAGCTATACGCTATACACTTTCGTATTTTTGAGTAATATAGGTAGGTTTTTTTTTCTATAAAAATAGATTATTTAATACCCTATTTTTAAACACTTTTTTGCAAAGAAAAAATGTTTGGGTATCTTCGCCTCCAGCGTTACGCATCCCCCCACAGGGCTGCTTCAGCAAAAACTGTCCCGGGCGCATTTTTGTATCGAGCGCCTAGTATACCGCATTCGGGTAACGTCGTATCAACCGAGGCCTGTCTCATAATGAGCGTCTGACATCCCGATCGATTGTCAAGCTACCGTACGCTTGATACTAGTCCTGCGAAATTCTGGATCAGCGTCCAAAAATTCATTTTTATTTCAATTGTTGGTCATTAATTATGGACTGGCAAGCCAATTATACATATATACCACATTGTCAATTCCAGCAAAATACGAACCATTTTAAGACTAAGCAGGAAATCGAGATAAGTGAAAAAGAGTAAAATTATGTTTTATAGTTTTATCTATATAGCCACTTTTTCTATATACCGGGTGTCTACGAGATCAGTTTCGCGCTGGCATTTGCTGTTTTTTTTTTCGATGGCAAAGATTTTTGGTATGGAGTGTAGGTTTGAGAAATGTCATCTTTTGACATGTGTGTCAATGTTTGGTAACTTCCGGTTTGACCGGAAATGGTCCTAACTCCGTAATTTTGAATGGCATCCCAATAATTTTTTCGCATTTTTGGTATCTGCGGATCATGATGTATATAAAAACGTCAAATTTGAACATTTTTGAAGAAATTTCAAAACTCTGAATGAAAATTTATTTTTGAACAGGAAGTGACGGAGCGGTCTTAAAATTGTTATTTTCAACCAACACAATCGTAGAAAAATGCGAATGCCAAGCTATTATCCTATGCTTGTTCTCCAAAGGCTTCCAAAGCTGAAAAAATCACATTTTACGTGATAACTCAATGAAATCAGTGAAATCACCCGACTTTCATAACAAATGTTTTTTACCTTTTTCAAAATAAAACCAACTATGCATTAAATTTTTTTATTCATGCCAGTTTTTAATTATTTTTCCAATATTTTTACTATGCATTACTATAACTGATAA